AACCTCTGTAACGGTGGTGCTTTGAGAAGAAGATGCGTCGGTTGCAGCTGAGCTTGAGAGACCTTCCTCTGAAGGAGTCGAAAGTGGTTCCAGCGTCGTCATCTCATCTTCTCCGGAGCCCTCCTCTTTGAACACATCGGATTTAGAAGTGACCGCAGCAGTAGTTGGCTTGTCCTTGGACTCGGCCATTTCTTCTATAGTCAACTCCTTTGGAGTTGGGAATGGTGATGTTCTCAACACATTCTGAGAAGGTTTCAGAGTCGTGGATTCTGTACGGCTGACTCCCGCATCAGGTGCCGTCACCAGCGCGTTAGTAGTTGGTTTAGTACTGCTAGGTTCTATGGTGTTAGATATCGAAGAAGGAGATGTCGGTGAAGTTGTGGATTCCCTGTGTAGGACACTTGAGGAAAGCAGCTCTTCGTCAGGCGGTGTGGGAAAAGCTGTAACATCCGGTGGTTCTTCAGTGGCCTCAGGTTCTCGTGAAGATTTCTTGAAAATGATCATCGAACTCGTCACTTCCTGTACATTACGCGAAGATGTTGTTGTGCCACGAGGCATGTCAGAAGTGGAACGAACTCCTTGAGGTTGATTAGTATGGACAGATGTTGTTGTTGTTGGTTTAGCACCATCACTGGTGAGGTTAGATGGGGTTATGGAAGACATTTGAGTTGTCGCTATACCTGACACAGTGCTGACTGAACTACTTTCAGTTACAGTAGTTTTAGTGCTTGATTCGTGAATGAGAGGTGTGGTATGATCAGTGGTGCTCGGAGAAATCGAACTGGTAGTGATAGTGGTGTGATTTCGGTCGTGATCGGTGGTGAGTGAAGAGGTGGATGAAGACGGTTGAACGGTGGAGCTCTGAAATCCTACAATAGAGCCACGGTTGGCAATCTGCTTACCAAGGTCTTTCGACGACGTCGTCTGTGTGGCGGTCGTCTTCTGCCCTGTATCACCAGGTATCAGCTGAACAACCTCGTTCTCGTCGATTTCCGTGATGATTCCTTTAGGATTCGGTGTCGAAGTGGTGAGCAAAGTGGTGCTGGCAGATGTGGAAGTGAAGGTGGTGCTTGTGTTTGTGATTTCTGAATAGTGCTTGTGCAGAAACTCTTCCTGAGTAAAGCAGAACCTGGTTCGCTTACCTGTGCATTTCTGGATACCATCTCCTTCATATCCATGACGACACTTGCAATTACCATCGGCCTTACATTCAGCATTCGCGTGGCAAAGCCTTGCATCCAAATGGCAGTTGGGTCCTGAAGTCAAAAATGGCTTTTTTCTGGCTATGGGCCAATCTACAAGTGTGTGAAGGGAACATACACATTTAATGTTTCGGCACTATTCACCCTTTACTGCCCACTTTTCAACATCTAGGCCAGATTTTGATCGGAATTTTTTTCTGGAGTGAAATCTGTGAAAACTTCGCCTGCGGGGGTTTCAATCCCTTCAACACGAATATCACACTTGTCTGGGGTGAAAGTACTTGGCGTCTGCGCCACAGGCACCAACGCCAAGAGTAGTTTTGGAGCCAACGCCCGCAGACGTTTTCACGCCAAACTAATGGAGTTTCCTCGTGTGGGAAAGTCGGATACACCCTGCGCGGACAAGGCATGTTGATAAAAATTGATTGTCTCAAATGCCGCCTTTGACTGGGCGCGTCAAGTAGTTGCTGAAACAGACGTGTTCCGGTGGTTCAAATTCCATTGCAGCAGATTTTTAGCAAAGAAGCCCTCCCGGAGCAAAAATCTCGCCGAACCACGCCCCGCGCTCTTGGGAGGTTCAAAGTCCCGGAACGCTCCGCCCAAGTCAACTAGGCTCTCTGCGCCTCAGCCGGCACGATAAATCTGTTTCCAACTATAGTCGAACGAGGTGTTAAGAGTACTGACTGCCACATCGAGCACCCTCGCGCTATGGCCCTCCACAAATCCCATTGTTTGGACCACATCACATCCCAGTAAGCCACTACTTTTTTAATGAATTAGAAATTCGCAGCCGCATCCCCAAAAAGGATTGATCAACCGACGAAACTTATACTTTATCCTTTTATCCGGCTGAAGTTAGGAAAAGTGGAGCAGCAGGGGTAAATAGTGCCAACAACTGCTTTCAGGTTTTCATGCTTCTTCGAAGGTTCGAAAGAAAGCGAAAGAGCGCGCGAGTCAGCTGGAGAGAGGAGCATTTTGTAAGCTCCCATCAACATCCCGATTAATTTCGTAAAACTCCAGTAAAGCTCAGTAGAGCTTAGGAACACTTACCCTCCGACTTTTTAAAGTGAACTGGAACATTTAGTGAAGGTGCAAACAAACGAGTGTGATCTGAGAAGGGCAGCCGGGCACGTTTCCTTGTCTCTTTTGCCTTTCTACCAGAAGAAAAGAAACTGATACCATTTTCATCTTATTATAAGTTGAATGAACTTTACAGAGTTGTCTGCTATCTGAACAGGAGCTCACAAAATGCCCCCTCTCTCCCTCCGTTCCTAAGCAAACCAGCGCTGCGAAAGGAAGAAAGTGCTAGTAATGTTGCTGAAAGAGGAAGTGTGGAATCTTACGATCAGTTATGTTGGTGCCACTGGTGGTGTTGACGGCTTCACAGACATGTCCACTGCCAATGTATCCCGAATTACACGTGCAATTAAATGATCCGGGTGAATTGTGACAAGTGGCATGTGGATCGCAAATACCGTTCAGGGCACATTCGTCGATATCTGGACACAGAACATGGACACATGCAAGGACTCTCGGACCGTCTCAGACATGAATCATCCGGGGATTCACATCTGGGACCGCGAGTCCAATGACAGTAAAGAAAAACAGTTGTACAGATTGTGCATGGAAAGAGACTTTCCCAGCTTCATGCCAGATTCCACGTACGGACTAGAAATGAAACGGATCAGCCTGCGGGAGCAGGGCCGTACCCCAAAAGTTTGTGATTTCAGAAGCGAAGCAGTTGTTTCAGCAGATCATGAAGGTTAAAGGCAGCCAAATGGGTGGACACAGGGAAACACTCTGCATTTCTCATTGAGGTGCCCCTCTCTTTGAACAGGGCGATAAATAGGGGTAAACGAGCGCTCCGGGCAGGATCCGTTGAAAGAACATTCCGCGCTGGTCGTACAGGCGGTACAAAGAACGAACTCTTTGACGCGCCCTACAA